CTTGTTCTTTGCTCGAATGCTCAAATCTCCAAGTTTGGCCAAAATCTGCCGAATTTTTTGAGTTTTTCGAAAGAGCACTCTGAATATAATCCTTTTCATTCATATCTTCACTTTCAATATAACTTATATAATATTATATTAATATAATAATAATGTCTTAGGATTGGCTAGAGTGGAAACTGCTTTTACAAAATTTCGGTTTCCTTTCAAATACTCTTAAGGAGGGATTCTTCTCGTGTTTATCATACTTAAAAATTGATGAAATTTTTGCAGATTCAAGAAGACAATATCACCACGAGATGACACCGTTTCATTAAAAGGTCAAGGTCATAATATTTTCCTTGTCATTAAGCATCAGAAATTATTGTTGCCAATCATGTAATACTTATTTTTATTTCAAAAGATTTAATCTTTTTTCTTTTTAAATAAAAGTTGATACAACAAAAGGTCTACCAGATGATAATATCAAATTGAGATAAACAGTTAAACTAAATACATGTAGATATTGGGTAACTCGAATTTCCTCTATTTTTCTTAATTTTTGCAGGGAATATTAGTTATTTTAATATGGTTTGTATATTTAAATTTTATTATTTTTACATATGGTAAAGTAGTCATGTAAAGGTACAAAATGATACGATAACCAAACGTTTTATCCGTTTAATAAGAGAGAACAACATTCTTCACTGAATTTTTTACTCGAATCGGACCTTAGAATTATTAGCTTTCAAAGGCTATAAGATTGCTATTTTTCTAGAAAATCCTATTTATTTGATATATTTGTAAGGATGTAATCTTTCATATAAAAGCATTTTCCAACTTTAGTAGCCTCTGCTGGAGGATGTGCCCTCTTACTAAGTTGGGCGATATTAGGGTTTTTATGCTGTTCAGAAAGTAAATACTCTCGGCTGATGATGTACTTTTCTTGGTTAAATGGTTTTTTCGACTCATCATCATCACCACTAAATTTTGAGGAAATTTCATTTTTCACCGGTTTTTCTAATAATTTGTGTGGCTCCATGCTTGTTTTAGTGCCATCAAGCTCGGAAAACAAAGTGTCATTCAAATCAATGCCTATAGAAGAATTTGTCTTGTCAAGGGCTTGAGTATGGTCAGCCTCCATTTCTCGTCTTCTGACCATCGCTCTAGTAACAACATAGGCTGGATATATGTCGTTGTCTCAATCATTGTACATGACATTGGAAGAGATTTTCTCACAAATCATAGGATCTGGTACAACCTGCAAAATCGTTACATAGCAACGAAATGTATGGAACGAGAAGAGTAGGTCAAAAACTACAGTAACAGGTCCAGAAACTAAATCTGATTTTTAACAAATTCTATGCTGTGGATTATCAATGACGCCTAGCTCCAGACCCTGTAATAAAACTTACCCACCAGTAGATGTCTGCTCAGACAAAGGAAGCAAGCCCTCTGATGAAAAAGTCTGTGCAGCACCAGTATCTCTCAAAATCTTAATAGGTTTAATTTTCTTAGAGTCACCGAATGAAGCAAATCAACAGGACTGCTCTTTGAACCCTGAGCATCAGAAATGTTAGAACAAGGATTTTGTGACCATGTAAGATTCTCTGCTACTTTTACGAATTATCGGAAATATTTGTCCACAGGTTTATTCTTGAAATCTTCGAACTAATCTGCTCACGGTCTCGCGATTTTCTTTCAAATTTTTCTCACTGAAATTTCCGTTCACGCTCTCGCAATTCTCTTTCTCTAGCTAAATGCATATAGTCAGATAGAAAGAATGATTTACAATTTCCTTGTCGATATTATTTTCCTGTTCTTATAAAGAAATCAAATTTAATAGAAAATCAGAATTTTTTTAAACTTACAGCAATGAATTGAATGAGTTTCTAATGTACGAGGGGAGATAAGGAATTCTCGAACTATCTCTATATTTACAAAACCACCATTAAGATTATAATGAAATTTGGTACACATATAGTCATAAAAATGTTCTATGAAGAGTAGATGTTACGCAATGTTTTGCTCCATGTCTGTGGCGTCACATGTGAAAATGAAGTCAAAATGGAGATGACTCGTGACAAGAAATGGCTGACTCATTCGTATTCGAGCAAGGAAAGGCTTTAAAGTTTAACGTTTATCTTGGAAATTCTTTTGCAGTAGATATGATAATTTGTACAAGGTTAATGAAGACAAAAGAATTGCCAGAAATTCAATCAATAATTGGATTGATTGTATTATTGAAGGAAGGGAGATGATTAAAAATGATTTTTGTTCTGGTGTCCAGTGAAAGTAAGCTGGAGAAGAGATGTGCCCTTAGTTAAGCGATTTGTAACTAAAGGTCGCCAAGTAACAGTTTTGAATATAGTTTATTATCTTAAGAATATTTTGATTATCAAGACCAGTTCTCGGTAAAAATCAAACAAATTGAAAGAAAGCTTGCCACGACATGTCTCAGATTTTCTTCAAACTTGGCCAATCTTACCACAATCAAACTTTTTACACCAATTGTGCTGAAACCAAGTATAGGATGGGACCTCTGTTACCATTTTTATATAAAACTACAACATCAACACTTTCAATGGATATATTTGATATGCTGCATGTTTATTTGAAACTTTCTATAAACTTTGTCAAAAAATAACAAAATATCGATTTTTCGAAATTTTGTAAAAAGTGAATAAAAACAGAACATTTTTGGAAGATAAATAAAGAAAAATAGCATGACTTTCACAATGTCACTTATATCATCTAAAGGTACTTGTCACAAATAATGAAAATATTCAAAAACATTCATTGGCAAAGAACAACAAATGTTGACTGTAACAAAATGAAAAATCATACAAACGGCATTACATGTATGCCAGAAAATAGCCTTAAGAATTTCCATCTTTAATAGTACCTTATTCTCTATCCTAAATATATATCACATATATAATACTCTGATATTAATTCAAAGCATTTTACAGTAGAAAAGGATTTACCAAGAGAAAGTTTCAAAAAATAATGTAATTAACTAAGGAGTAATTAATTTACAGAAATTGCATTAGAGTCTATGTATAAAAGCCATTTTAAAAAAAAAAAAATGAAAATTCAAATAATAAGAATATCAATAAATAATGTGTTGGAAAGATGCATTAAATCATTAGAAATAGATTGACAAGTGAAACAATTTTTTTACCGTATAATTTTTTTTAAAATTGATTTTTATTGCTTAAAAAAAGAGGGAGATTACTCTTCAACAAAGGTCAAGGTCATAAAATAGGACACGTTCGATTCTTATATGCTAATAGTGATAAATGGGAATTATGTCTAAATATACTGAGTATTCCACCCGTACACATCTGTTATCTATTCAAATTCATTGAATCTGAGGCTATTAGGAATGGAATAATGTACATTTCGTATATCAATGTGTTTTCGTGATATACTTGAGATGGGTTTATATTTACCAAAGAGTAAGATCTGACTTAATTTCATATATCTTTTAGCTGACATCATAATTTCATAAACTTGAATTCTATGGGAGATTACACAAGTCGATGGGCCAGACAGGAAAAAGAGAACCTTGACACGTTGTCAGAATGAATTAAATGTATCAGATGTATGTTAAAATCTCGTATTAAGTGATTGAGGGGAAAAATGAAAAACAGCTATCCTTCTGTGTTAAATAACTCAGAAGTGAAAAAAAGAATTAGATGGATTATACGATCAGTATGTTCTGGTCCCTTCTGACAAAGGAGGTAACAATATTGTCCTTATCTGTAAGGCTCACTATTTAAATTGTATTTTTGAGGAACTTGGATTTATTTCTACAAGTGGTAATCCAACTTATACCCAAAGATCCCTTTCTAAGGAGAAAATTCTTCGAAATCAGATGTCAGTTTTGACTATTTTTAATATTCCTAACAACCAACATGAATTTGAATTACCATTTCTATACTGGCATGCATATGGATTCCAAAATTTCATAAAACCCTTACAAAGATGCATAGCGGGTTCCAGTAAATATTCTACCAAGTCTCTTCCTTTACTTCTCACTAAAATATGAACAGTAGTAAAAGCGAAACTTCAGGAGTGCTGTGCAGCAAAATATTCGAGAAGTGGTGTAAATTAGATATGAATACTTAAAAATTCCAAGGAACTTTTGGAGAATTTGAAATCACAAAATTTTACCAAAATCAACAACATAAAAACTTACGACTTTTCAACTTTATATACAACCATTCCCCACCATAAATTAAAGTCCAGGTTTTTTGATATCATTGACAGTTGCTTTTTCAATAAAAAGGGAAATTGTAAATTTGCTTACCTTGTCATATGTCTTTTGCAAAATTATTTGTTAAAATTGTTACTGATTGTACAAACAAGTACACTGAAATTAATATTAAAACGATACTCGAGTTTCTGAATGACAATATATCTATGTGGTTTTTTGAGACCGTCTTTCAAAAATTTGTTGGAATTCCCACGGATATAAGTTTTGCCCCCGTTATTAGCAGACTTATTTTTGTATTCATATGAAGCAGAATATGTTCAAAATCTTATATATGAAAAGAAGAAAACACCTAGTAAGCAAATACAATTTATCATCAAGTCAAATGCTGACTGACGTTTTTATACTTATTGCTTGGTTATTATTTACACATTGAAATGTCAACAGATTTTTCCGTTATTTCCCGATCATGACAAGGAGCACACGGCATTTGTGACCAGTCTGCAGGGGGTGCTCACTCCTCCACGGCACCTGATCCCACCTCTGATATTTTAGAGGTTCATGTTTGCTCTTCTCAAAAATTTGTATTGTTTAATGGACTTCTGAGCTTGAATACTGTTCATTATCTCCATATATTTCATGTATAAAGGTTGACTTTGAATGTGGATTTTGAGCATGTATGCAAAAATGTTGAAAGTAAGACAGAGTATATTTCAAATAAAAGGTCAATTAAAGTTGCTCACATGAAGTGTTTTGTGTTATAACATATACACTACTTGACGTTGTATATTAATAACGATCCTTTTGTTGCTTCGCTTGAGAAATTCAAAATTTATTTATAATCTTCATGGATTAGACATACAGATAATTCAAAGATTTTCTTTCAGGAGTCTTGGTATCTGTTCCTTGAATCTGTTCACGGATTGAAATTAGCCTCTTCCTATGTACCGATGATGATAATATCTTTTCGACATCCTGTAGAACAGTACATGTAAATTCCAGTACGATATAATGTTGGACTGGATGCATTTCAATGGGACATACAAAATAGTTAAAAAGATAGGGTATTTCATCCAATTTTCTTGATTCAAAAGTGTATTCTGAACTTTAAGGATAACACCTAAATGACCAATACTTACATCACAGCTCTCTTGGTGTTTAAGTCAGCCTGTGGGTCTTTTTTCGCTGTAAATAAATGAGATCTTAAAAGGGCTTGGATACAGATTTGAAGTTAAAATTTTTAACATTTTCGGTGTATTATCTATCACGAGGAACACATTGCTAGAGCATTTCAGACCGAAGTATTATAGAAGCAGGTTTAGAGGCTTGTTTCATCTGCAAAGTTTTTAACACTGAATTTCGGGACGCCTATCGCTAAGAAAATAGTAAGTTAACTATATTTTACTATTGTTAACTATAGTAATTATTGTATATCAAATTTTCAAAATTATCACTTTAGTAAATAAAGGTTTTCAAAGTTATTACTATAGTGTCAAAGTTATCACTATAGTAAATCAAAGTTTTCATAGTGAACACTATAGTAAGTCAAAGTTTTCATAGTGGTCACTTTGGTTAATCAGAGTGTCTACGTTTACACTATTTTAATTCAAAGTTTCAGTCAGCATAATGGATTTTAAAGGTTTTCGACATGAAGCATCTAGAAATGGAAAGTTTAGAATTTATTGCTACAGTTATAATTTTCTGATATGCATGTAGAGGTTAAATAATTTTAACACATCCATTTAGTATTAAATGTATCCAGTTTTGCCGACTATCTCAATTTACAAAAGATATCTATTGATGCCTTCTATTTCAAATAACTCTATGCATTTTGCTTGCAATTATTATTATCATTATTATTATTATTATTATTTTTGCTTGCAATTTTATTTTTAATTTCATAATTTTTGGGAAAAAAAATATGGTTTGACTTCTGCTGGATAACATTTTAAAATAAATATTTTTTGGCTTTTATTTCAATAGGCCTTTTTTCATATAAGTAAATAACATAAGTTAATGTTATCAAGAATGGAAACAAGATGATAGAGTACAATGATATAAATTACATTTGATTGATAACTTAAATAATTCAGTTTTCATAGTGAACACTATAGTATTTCAAAGTTTTCGTAGTGCCAGAGTGATCACTTTAGTATTTCAAAGTTTTCATAGTGCCAGAGTGATCACTTTAGTAAATCAAAGTTTTCATAGTGATTCCTATTGTAAATCAAAGTTTTCTTCATGATCACTATAGCAATTCAAAGTTTTCAAAGTGTCAAAGTTATCACTATGGTAAATCAGTTTTTCATAATTATCACTATAGCAAATCAAAGTAACAAAGTTATCACTATAGTAAAACTATAGTTTTCATGGTGTCAAAGTTGTCACTATAATTCAGTATAGTAAATTATAGTTGTCACTATATATCAATATAGTAAATTATAGTTAACTATAGTTGTGTGTGTGTGTTTGTTAAGGTGGTTGACACATATCCTTGCAAAATGAAATTTATCATTTATATTAAAAAAAAAAAAAAAAAGAGTTTTTTTGTGCGGTAATGAAAAAATGTCCAGAAATTCAGAGTAAAATCGTTAAAAACGAAAAACAGTTTTCATGGGTCATTTTCTTGATGTTTGCAGAGTTATCAAATTGAACCATACCGGTAAAACATAATTATAGAGATTTGTCCATGAAATATGGAGATAACGATCAGTATATGAGCTGTACTAAAATATAAAAACGAAATGAAATCGGAAACAGTGCAAACACGGACCTCCAAAAACATCAGTTTTTGGAGTGTGAATACCTTCCGACCGGTCACAACTATTGTTACAAACACAAATATTAAAATTAATGTCCCATTGCTGAGCTAGTGACTTGACAACATCTTATTGAAAGAAACAGTTCAATTCTAAATCTTAAATTTGTGTAAAATTGAGAGAGAAAGAGAGAGGTCATAAGAATGATATTTACCTGGCGGATCCACACTTCCTTCCATTTTTCCTCTTTTGAAAAACTCATGTTTCAATGCTATAGGTCCAGACGACAGTGGCAAGTATAGTTGCAAAAAGATCTGAAGATTGAATCAGACACACTTACGAGAGTTATAGAATATATGTTTCGTCAATTACTTATTCATATCAATGTAATCAAATTAAAGATATTCTTTGCTTTGAAATCTTCAAAAAATGTTCGAGAGTAAAGTGTCACAGTATATCAAAGTATCAAAGTATTCACTATAGTTAACTATAGTAAAAAAAAAAAAAAAGAAGAAAAAAAAAATAGGGAACCTATGTACAACAGCATTTAATTATTTTGTTTTGACATCAAAGCATACTGTTATCTTTCTCACTATTTTTAATTTTTTTTTCAGTTAATTAATTAACTTTACCGGAAAGTTTAATATAGGTCCTGAGTAATTATTCCTCGTTCCATCCTAACCATGAATTTGAAGTCTCAAAACATTTATCTACGCTTATGTAAACAAAATACAAATTAATAAGGATATTTTATCTTATTCAAAAAGCCACAATAAGAATGGCTTAATATCACATTTTAAAAAAAAATCTGAAACAACGATATGTTATTTCTGAATTAATATTCACAAAAATGATCGATTGGAATGAAGGTGACTACCGATCAGATTTATGCACGACAGGAAACTAGTTTAGTATCAGTGTAGGCTAACTTACTAGATACTATGTTTTGATATCAATTACATGTATTAAAAAGAAAATAATGCACGCAGCTGTGTAAAGGCTTCTCGAAGCTTTAAAATGAGCTCAAAACATAATAGTCCATGACGAGGTCGGTTTTGGTTTTAATTTATAAGTATTGTAATTAAGTACTTCCAATTCATATAGAGGGTTCCCTCGGCTATATATTAACATATTTGTTACAATATCACATGGCTTTGTCGATCACGTGACGGTCATTTATACATCTTTGAAGTGTTTCACATAAATCTCCCGGCGCAGCTGATTAACACAACAATCAGAAATAAACTCATCGTATCCTTGTGTACCCGAAATATGCTTGGGAAAAGTCATAGTATAACTTGGGTTCAAAATATTTCGCGAGAAATTCAACTTACCTACAAATCAGAAGGTATTTTCCACACAATATCGTAATCTGTATTAAATCAAAGCCATTACACACTTCCCAAGCAAGATTCAGTTAGAGAACAACCTCTTCTTACATATTTCCACAAAAAATCTCAAATTAATCCTCATTAATCACCTGCGTCAGACTCTTTTATACACATAAAATAAATTTTACCTCCAACCACGTGTATAAAACAGAGTACGTTTCAAAAGTATATTTTTCCTATGCATTTTGAACATGCTGAATTTCAATCAAGGGTACGTAAGCGATGTATTTTTAAAATATTCGGACATATTAGATTTCAAAAAACTTTAACGACCCCATCTTCGCTAGCCAAGGGTTTCTGATACGCTACTCTCCTCATAAACCCTTGGCATACGGTGCTGACAAAAGACGGGATTGTTTTCGTCACGTGATCACGATTCTTACCAGGTACGCACAGATTGCGTCATCGACAGAAATAAAAAGCGTATTTAAAAAAATAATGTTTTTAAAGAATAATTAACAAGAAGGTATTGAGTTAATTTGTTAAACATATTAAAATGCAAATCTACATCTTCAGTACTGATTCTTAATCATATATTTTGCACGTAGCTTAAGATACTGGATGACACCAAATAGTTATTCATAGAATGACACGGATCGTTGTTTACTTGCGTTTTTTATTCCCGATATTAAAGAGTCAAGATACATCCCGAACGCAAATATCGTCATTTACAAAAAACAATTGCTGATTGGTCGAACGATGTCGATCAACTCCAATCACAACTTCAGAAAAAAATCCCAACTTTTTTTAACACCGTATGCCAAGGGCTTATGAGGAGAGTAGCGTATCAGAAACCCTTGGCTAGCGAAGATGTAACGACCCAGGAATTTTGAAATATCTAACCAGCATTTTACACGCAGTTTGAAATAGAGCGTAAAGTTCACGACACTCTCCCCATCGTAACACCTCAAGTTGGTTGTGTCTTGACGTCATTTTCCATTATGAAGTCATATTTACGGAGTTCAGAGTAGTGAGACACAGAGTGAACTCTGATATTCTATGGAAAGCCCTAACCTACCTGCACAGGTCAACTACCAAGAATAATAAGAGGAATATTTTGGTAGCCTTGATGAAATAAGAAGAAAAAATGGTCGGTGCTTATAAAAAAAAGGTAAAAAAAATATAAAACATCTTACACAAGGATTGTCAAATAAATAAGCATGCGAATACCTGACATATGTGTAGCATATGAAAATATATCATGGGTTTTATTCTTTTTTCTTTCTTTTCCGTGAGGCAGATTTAATCACTGTACCTTTCATTTTTAAATCGAACTTTCATCTCATCTAATTAACATTAAAAACAGCTAGAAGAATGGGTTTAAATAAAAACAAAGAACGAAGTTAAAAATTGTTTCAATATACCTATTCAATTATTAACCGTAAATAAGCCAAATTGAAAGGAGGTATATCATCTTGTGTATACATTTTTTTTTTATAATCTGAGCCCCAAATTGTTGTGCATTAACATGTAATATGGTAGACAAATAGACAAATTTAAAAAAAAAAAAACAAAAAACAAAAGTGAAACAATTATCACATGTACTCACAATCAAGTAAATGCACAGATATCGCATCTTGTTCTTTAGCTTGAGAAAAGATGATGAAATGCACGATCAATATACCTCTATATATATCATATGGCTCTAAAAAGTAATTGCTATACAATATCACGATGTCCGCTATATTTTGAATCAGAAACTCTGTATATAGAATGCTTGACGTAAAATGTTTTAAAAATTGATGCACGTTTTGTCAATAAATTGTCCTAAGTTTCCATTGCAAACCTTCTGTTCCTTTGCTAATGCTGAAAATTTTTCATAAAAAACAATTAAAAATTGAAATTCATGGGACGAAAGTAACTGATTAAAATCTATCCAGTTGGAAGCACTATGGAATTAGTCTTTTTAAAAGTGGATATTTACTGATTTTTAAGCTGTCTAGTTGTTTATTTACACTAACCGTTACAGTTAACCAAGTAAATAAGAGAAGTCAGGTACACACCCTTAACCCCCTCCCCCCCCCCCCCCAGTATGAGTCAGGAATAATTCAATTCACCTAAACTGTTTGCTATTTTATTTTCTTAATTAATCAAAATACTTTTAATAAATGATGGACGTATTTGTATATACTGTACCTAATACAATTATGTCAACAGAAGCACATATCAGGCGATCAAGCGCAAATAAGGAAGTTGTATAGACAAAAAAAATAATAAAAAATAAAAATAAAAATAAAAGAAAGCGGAAAAAATGTTTTGACAACTCGATGCATTGCTGATCATACCATTGTTCTTATATTTAACCCATGATGATGTAAACTAGCTAATATTAATACATCTTTTTGCTGAAATTTTCTTTTTAATTCAAATCTACATATTAAGAAAGAGTTTCATGCCAGCGCAAACTCATTTTTCTTTTAAATATGCCAAAATAACTCAATCCTTAACAGGAAATATTCCACGTACATGAATCAAACCTTATTTTATATTGAATAAAAACGCTTATTGTGAAATTGAATATAATTACTGAATTTTATAAATAAGTTGTTCAATGTGATGTTCCTGTAATTTTATTCACATATTAACTTACATGTATGTCACAGGGTCATCGTTAAAGAATATAACGCTGGATTCGGATTTATGAAGTTTTAATGAGGATAACAAAGAAATGAAACCAGGTATCCAGTATTATAAAATATGAAATATAATTATCACATCATCGTGAAAGTCGATGACTTCAAACATAAAGGTTTGGACCTCTTACACCGTAAAGGTAGAAATCTAATAGTTATTTGATTTGGCGGGATAAGCGCTTATGTAGTGCACGAAGTTAGTATACATGCATATTAATTATCAAATAGTGGTCTGTCATTGGTCCACTGGTCGTATTCGTATACCTGGTCAGTTTGTAAACTAAAAATAGAAATATCACGTGACAAAACAAAACATTCACACATGGCACTCATTCACACAGACGGCGCTATGTTTGATTAGCAATGCGCGCTAATCAAATATAATTTATTAACAAAATATTTAATTAAATATCAACTGTGACATTCTCCCCTGCTAAGGAAAATGGCTCCTGACATTACAAATATATTCATATAAATAACCCTGTAAAAAAAACAAATTTTAAATGCAATACTAAATAAAATAAGTAAGTATATGTACATTAACACAAAGTTTGTGTGACATTCTCCCCTAAATATCTTACACATAGTACACAGGAGTTATCTGATGGCTCACCCATTCACCATACTTGTTTGGTGGTCTCACCTGTCTGGTAGATCTCCTTGGAACTGGTGATGTTCTAATATTTACAGAGGGAGAATTTGATACATTACGATTCAATGTCGAGGGATTGTAAGTACTACTGGCGTCAAATGTTGAACTAGTATTATAGGTACTAGTATTGCTCCAATTGTCTGAATGAATGGAACTAAATGGTGTAGACTTACCATGAATACCTGATCCAGGATTTACCCGTCTCTGTGGTATAATATAAACATTACCACCATCAGATGACCCAGAATCTGAATCTTCTGACTCAGACTCAGAACTAGAATGAATAGATTTACAAATACTAGTATTATTATCTACCTTAGGTGGTTTTTCTGGGTTGGGGTTTTCCTGTTTTTGATCAATGTTTTTGGGCACCTTTGGCCAATATCTGCTCTGTTCAGAAAGTTTGGGGATATATGATATGGGCAGTAGCATATTTCTATGCAAGGTCTTAATTTTCTCTTTCCCATACTCTTTCTTGACTTGAAATACTGGGATGTCAGAATTGGACTGATTGATAACAATATAGGTATCTCTGGCCCACTTATCTGCCAGTTTATTTTTTCCCTTTAATCCAATATTTCTAATGAGAACACGGTCTCCAATATGAACTGTAGCTTCTCTAAC